TGTCGGGGCGTGTGGCAGCGTGCCGGAGCGAGCGAAAGCTTGGGACACAAGCTCCGCCTTGGGCCACGGTGGCAGGGTCGAATGTGCGAGGCCGCAAGCATTGGGGGATTGTCCAAAAACTTATGGTTAAACATAGATACGCATGATGCAAGAACACTACGGGCGAAAACGCGGGAAAGGGCAACGAGAGGTCTGCGAAAGGTTCTTGTAGCGTGGCATAGATGGACCGCGGCGCACGCATAAGGTTTATCTTGACAGGATTGTTTTGGCTTTCACGGCCAAGCCTTCCTAAAACAACACGTGCGGGCACTTGCTGCAATGTGGCAAGTCCAGCAACTCTGAAAACAGAAGTGCCACCAGTACTATTGCTCTCATCATCAGTATCATTGTCCATCAATGTCCATCAAACCGCTTTCGGGCCAGATGTTGCAGAATTTGCAGAACGGATTTTCTCGAAATGCGCGCGGGAGGTGCGCGAAAGGCACGCATGGGTTGTGAAGGTAGTAGGCCACTCGGGCTTCTATGTTTCAAAGAATTGCTAACTTCAGGCCCTCATGCGGAGAATCGCCCTGCAAACCAGTAACCAGTTTATCCAGCGCATGCAGGGCGAGAACATTGCTGAGTTTCTAGCTTAGGTTGTAACTTTGCGGAGTGAGTCAAGGACCGCTTACTGAACACGTACGTGTTTAGGCCCCTGACCATATAGGACCCCAACAGAATTTCCAAGCATTCAACAAATCTGTCAATTTCAGGACTTTTACAGGGAATTTGGATAAGGTTTGTTGCGTTTCTTCAAAAAATGCTGCGGGCGAAAGCCCGGCAAAAGGGCTGTTTTTGGGGAAAGGTAAATTGGACAACCATTGGGGCAGCAGGCAGTGCGGAAGTGCAATGTATTGGCACGGTCCTGCCCCGCTCTGAAACCGTAAACCACAACGAAACAAAGCTAACGTTCGGACACCCCCATGTAGGCAATCTTCATTTATCATAGTATGTGGACACAACTGACGAAATGGGAAATGGGTAGTTCCCAAAAGTCGGGTCCCATTTTGGTTCGGTGCCGCATTATAGTTTGTAACCAACACGGCCCTAATTTTGAGAACAAGTCTAGTGGAGGCGAAAGGGGATGGTACACACGCAGCTCTGTCTCCCACCATCCCAGCGCTAGCAGCAGCATAGCGCCTTTGGGAGGCTTTTTCTCAAGGACCCAACCTTGGGCAATCCCTCAAACCTGAAATTCCTCAGTCCTCTGCCCCCAATCCCAGCACATTACAATCCCAAGTTCATCCGTGTCAATATCAAGTTGCTTGTAGCCGAACCCGGAGCAACTTTTCTTTGGTTTCAGCAGCGGTCCTCACTCATCCCCCTACTACGGCTCGCCAAAATCCAAGTGCAAGTGCTGGCACGTTGTTGCTCCGGCAGAGGTACCCAGTCCTCAGTCTCCTGAAGCCCAATCCCAGTCCCCCTAAGCCGGCCTAGTGATGCGCTGTTTTACGATGGTTTTATGCTTTCTCATGTTCTTAACCGGAAAGGTTTCTGAATTTGGGTTTCTGATGCTTTTATGTAGGCTTTTATTCAGGGTTCATGGGGTTTGAGTTGGTCTGCACGTTCGCGACACCGAGAATGTTTTACTGGACTTGAGTTTTTCGAACGGCTTGGACGCACAATCAACCCCAGGCGCGCCCTGCCCCCAACAAGTACCCCTGCTGCTTATCAGTGTCTGTCATACATCTGGCTAGGCCAACATTACCTTTGCCCTGGGACTGGCGTTCATGTGGGACGGGGGAATTGCATGCCTGAGAAACAATAAGAATTCGGAAAAAGGCACTTGCAGAGGGAAGGGGTTCAGGGGGTTGTGCGCTCCGGGAAGGTTGACCGGGTCTCAAGGCACCTTGTACCCTTGCGCAAGTCGGCTTATGACCCGTAGTGGGCTCGGCATCCGGTGCGAACCAGTTGAACTGCATTTAAGTTGCTACCTCCTTTCTCCTTTTCGCAGAAAAGGAGAGACATTGACCCTTCGAGGGGCATGAATGGGAAAACCGTATCCCTTTAGGCACACGCGGGATAGTGAGCGATCAGCGGCCAAGATGTCCTCCAAGCTGGGCAGGCCAGGATCACTTCCTCCAACGGCATGGCGGCGCGACCTCAGCCCGGGCAGTGGGGCGGCACCCAGGGTGAGTGCCGTTGGAAGCGCCGCACCAGAAGCCCACAAACGCCGCAAGGTTCCAGGTCGTGTTGGTCCAGGTAAGCCTGAGGCGTAGGGCCGAAGCGCTCCCCTGAGAAGTGATCATCCAGGTGGTTGCGCATGGCCTGGGAGGCCACCCGCTGCAGAGCGCGGGGTCGTGCATGCTCTGGGAGGCGACAGGGCAGAAGACCCTGATGCCATCATCAGCATATCCGCCAAAGCGTTGGCGCCGCGCAGGCCTGGCGACTGGCGACCTCATGTTCCGGTCGAGGGTTGGTGGCCTCTTCCGCACACCCCTTCCACTTACAGAGCCGGCGAGGGAAGAGGTGTTTGCACCTTCGCAGCCCCACCCATGGCTTGCTGGTCCCAAACGTGCCTCAGAGCTGACGCTGGTGCCGGTTGAGGGAGGCAGGGAGCCTGAACTTCTGAATCCTCTTGGCTCCTTTTCCTCGAGCTCCTCCAGCTCCGGTGGGCCGAAGCAAAGGCCAGGCAGGCTCCCAGGAGAGCCCTCCACAATCAGACGGCTAAAAGAAAAGTTCGACAGTAGCCTCAAAGCAGGGTCGATCTATCGGACATGAAGTCACGAAGTCCATGTCGGACATAGTGGGATCTTATCCTAGGCAAGCCCTGAAATCACGGTAAGAACATGCTAAGTCTCAGGAATCCTTGGCTCTGCGAGCCGCAATCTCGTCTCATCCATATTTTCAGCGGACTTGGGCTCCCGAGACCCCCTACACTGTAGTATCATAGATTATGATCACAATTTATTGGTGAAGGGGGCGGAAGGCGTCCCAAGATGGGAGCCGGCCCAAGAAGTGCTTTTGAATGGCTGCGAGGCCCGCAGGGTCCAGGAAAGAAACTCAGGAAGATTCAGCGACACTGGAAATGCGTTGCATTTAAAAGCACCGTTTCCTCAAACGGAGTTGGTGCGGTACCATGGTTCCATTGATGCCCGCATGCATTCAAATCTGATCCATGCCTGTGAAGGCGGCAGCTGCTAACCTCTCAGAGGCACGGACCGAAGGGCGCAGGGGTTGCCAGTGATTCATGGTTTGGACATTTCTCGAGCTCGGTGCTCAAGCTCCAGCATGTAGGTGTAGGAAGATGGAGCAACCAATGATAGTGCCTTGAGCAGGTTCTCCACGTTCACAACATTCGTGTGCTTCGTACTTGGGCCAGTCTTTTGAAGACCAGAGTGTTCAGCTAAAGCCTAGAATTCAAAGGCTTCAGTGCTTGTACACCTCAAGTGTCTTGACCAGCGCTGGCAAAATCTTACACGAGCTTCCAACCCAGAATGTTGACTGAGTGGGGTGCTTGGGATGCTAGAGGTTAAGACATCCCTGATTCTGCAGGCGATGCAGGCAAAGCTCGCTGTGGCTCTGCCCTGTTCCCTCGATGTCCCGGGGTCAATTATGTTGTACCCTCGAAACGGTGGATCCTTGCTATGGGTGTTTCCATAACAGGGGTCTATCATACGTCAATTTGGCATTGGACCAGCTGATCAGAGCAAGTCCTCTCCCTTACATCACGCTTTGCGCACGATTCACACTGCATTTGGCCAGGGCCAGCTGAACCAGTGCGCCCCCTTTGCAGCCTCTCCCCGCGTGCTTTTGTCGCATGAGGTTGACGCAAGGTAAAATGCCGTGCATCTTTGCAGCTGCTGAGAATTCGAGTTGTCAGTTGCCAACAGCAAGGAGTCAAGGAGGTGGCGAGCGCAGGAGTAAGAAGATTCGAAAGAATGAGATAAAGCAATGTGTTAGCTAGTACAAGAGCCACTTGAGAGACCATGGTTTAAAGCCAGCCTGGATGTGAAAGATGCAAGTCAATGCAAGCATCCTCCCGGGATGTGGCCAAAGCAGCCATGCCCGCACACTGGAGATGGAAGGGGCGCTGGAGCTCCTCTCATGCTGGGATCATCGGTGGCCTGGAAGCACATCGCGAAACCAATCAGCTCTCATCAGGGTCTCTCAGGGTCTCAGTGAAAGAGCATGGAAGAGCCGAGGTCTCTTGGCTGGTTTGCTCGCCACGGGATTCAGCACGCAGGTGTCACAGCAGGCTCTTGGCTCAGACTTTCCACGGTTCGCCACAAAAAATCAGCACGCAGCACACGCAGCACACGCAGGCTCCGTAGGCTCCGGAGGGCGAAGACTTTCCACGCTTATGGGAGCCGAGGCCTCCACTTTCGCACATCTGGCTCCCAACCACAAGCCACTGGACTCGGGCAAAGTAACTTTGAGACCTCTTAGATGATGTGACAAAGGCGAAGGTGGCTCTTCCTTCTGCTCTTTGGCGTGGTGGATGTAGGCCTTCGATCGATTGCTTGCTGCTCCTTAGGCTTGTTGCACGGTGCCAGGCCAGGCCTTCGTGATCGACTGGGCTGAAGGACGCACCCATGGCGACGGCGATGTGGGCGAAAAGCGCTATGTCCGCCACTTGGCTAGCATTTCATCTCCTGTGACACCCGGCATGTCCTGGCTTCGAGCACAAGTGCAACAAGGACAGTCGGTCCTCGTGGTAGAGCCCTTCCTGGCCATTGTTGTAGGCAACGTGTGAAGTTTGTGAAGTGTGAGGCGCAAGCACCGTGCTCGTCAGGCCTCGGGGTGCAAGCAAGCTCGGGCGGGCTAGAAGCTGTCCGAGAATGCAGCTTGGCCAGCGCAGGTTCGGCCATTAGAGAAAGAAAGTCACAAGTATAAGCAGGCCTGGATTACGACAAGTTCGTGGAATTCATCCCGGTCTGCCTCTTCTTTGGTCCCTTTGTACAAAAGTTGCGAAGTCTAAGCATGGCCATCTTCGCAGTCCCGATGCCTTAGGTATCGGTATGTCCATGAAGATGAGGGCCCGAAACCCAGGAGCAAAGGCTTGCCTTGAAAGCTACTACAGTATTACTTACGGGCCATCCAAGGCCGTGGGCTACTTCAATGCGGGAACCATCAAGATCTTCGGACAGAACTCCAGCAGCAAAAGAGCAATCGAAACGCAAGCCTTTCCTTCCTTTGCGCCCCTTGCTTACTGTTACTGTTTATCACACTCCTTTCATGTGTTACTTGAGGCTGCGACTGCCACTGGTGGCTTTGGTCTCTACATATCTTCTCTCACGGCGCTACTCTCGAGAGCAGTGGCAGGCAAACTCCACTACACTGTGGACTTTGGAATGTATGGAGTCTCTTGTCAAGGCCATTGTTTTGGTGGCGCTTAGCTGCTTTCTCTTCATGTGGTTCAAGGCTCGCAGCGTTCGGCATGGCCACCCACCACTTTTTCTTCTCCTGCAGGAGAAGCAGGGCCGAAGTGTCAAGGGCAACGACCAGCTTGATGTTCAAGGATGCTTGTTTTCACTGTCGAAAGAACCTGCTGCTAGCAGACTATACTTGCTACAGGACTCCTACTTTTGGCAGGCTCCCCATCCGCTCGTTGATTCGTGGGATGGCCTTGGCCACCCAACCTAAGCTTCCCTTTGAATGCTTCATGTGAGAAAAGTCACGTGAAAATTGTCGGCCGCTGTCAAAAAGATGAGCCGTTCCAGCCTCTGTTCAGGCTGGATTCTGCTGAACGTGCTTGGTGGCCCGGGCCTTGGACTGGACTGGGCTCAATGTCAGCGGAAAGTCATCATGAGCGAGATTTCAGCTCTTATTGCCGACGTGAGAGCACCAATGCTCATTTCCGTGCTGCTTATCATCACCATCATCATCATCATCGTCATCATAATGCGAGTCCTCGTGTCCTGATGAGGTGTTTTTGCTGAGCGCGCTTACAAGAGCAGCTCGGTTGATGGCCCGGAGATGTCTCCCAGCGTTGATGCGTTGCCCCGTTCCTCAGAGTTGAGAATGGTTGAGAGAAGGAGGGGGTGTGAGGTGGAGACAAGCCTTTCTTCTCCAAGAAAGTCTCCGAGGATCCTGTTCTTCTGTGCCACCAAGCACTGCAGAAGGCAAATCAGGCGCGTCCACAAACTTTTTGAGATCTGTGCAGGACTTCGGATACCTGGTCCTGAACCTCCTGATGCTGTTTGTGGTGCCCTGCTGCGCCACTTTCTAGCATTTGAAGTCTTCCGTGGTTGATGTGCTGCTGATTTGTTTTCTGTTCTCGTGCCAGGATCCAGACGAAAACGTGTTTGATCGCCTGCGTCGTCCAGGGTGTTTATTCGATTCTTGGGATCGCCGGACAGCTGCCCTTTGCACATAGACTTTTGGTGAGGTGAAGGGAGCCGAAGGCAACATCTTAGGAGATCACCGGTTCATTCATTCTATCCGTCAGAATGATGTCAAGTCCAAGTGTTGGCTCCGAGGTTGCGATGGTGGTCATGCTAATGCTGGATGCCACAGCCAGCAACTGGCTGCTGCAGGAGTTCTCCGCGCTAACTAAGTCCGTCATGAAAGCCTTCTGCCCCTCGACGGTTTGGAAACCATCTTCAGCGTCAACAGAGCTATTCTTGTCCCTCCTTGAAGCAGACGACCCAAGAAAGGTGTGGCAATCATCTATTTCATGTCGCTGACCTACAGGGAGGCGAGGGACCAAAGGAAAACCGGAACCTGTTCCTTGAACTGCTCGGCACTGCTGGTCGTCGGGCGGCTGGGCAGCGCTGGGCAGAGTTCAGGAGAGAAGTGCCTCGAGATCGCCAGCTTGCAGTGCTTAGGTGCTCTCTTTACTATGCGGAAGTGGCATCCACGCACTGAGCTGCGGAGGCGGTTCTGGCTCAGAGGCTTACAGTGCATCTGGTTCTGACTTCTGGAGCTCGGCAGGTCTGATGCGTTCATCAACCTTCTGCTGAGCTTTGAGCTTGAAGCCAGATCTGCGGAGTACCCGCAGTTACCCGCGAGGGCAAGAAAAGGGACAAGCGGAAACAGAAAGCTCGGCTTTTGCTTTGCTTGCTGCGCTGATCCCTCCTTCGCAGGCTCGCGTCCTCACAGGCGGCGAGGAACATGGCCACCGTCGTAAAGGTGGGGCAACGGAGGGTACCCCTCCAAGATTTGTGCAAAAGCCTGACAGTCAATTGGATAAGCGGCAGGCGGCAGCCCAGGCAAAACTCCAGGCAGCTAAGGTGGGCTCACGGTTCTCAATTACCCGTACTAAGCCGATGATTTGTTCTGCCAGGCAGTGCCCAAGGCGCCCGGCCCTGCCAAGGAGCCAAGTCTTTGTGAAAAATCTTCCAACAAAGCTCCAAGCAGCTCCAAGCCAGGCAGCCGCCAAGGCCACTGCGCCAGCGAAAGCAGCGCCAGCACCAAAGCCGCAGGCCCTGAGCCCAGCTTCAGAGAGCGAAGGCAAGAGCGATGGCCTTCGGAGCGCGAAGAAGAAGAAGAAGAATCACAAGAATAATATGAAGATGAAGAAGAAGAAGATGATGATGATGATGAAGATTATGATGCCATCGGTCTTGGTGATAGCTTTTTTGGGGGGGCTGCAGGGTCAGCAGTTCTGACCGAAATCAAGAAGAGCCAGGCCAAGTAGCGCGAGAGCGAGCGAGTCCGAAAGGCCTCCCCGAAGCAGCGCCCGGCGACCCCGAGCGCAGCCGGGTTGGTAGTGCCGGCGAAGAAGTCGGCTCCCAGCGCGCCGGAGGCAAGATGAAGCAAAGCAGCTACAAAGCAGCTTTTTCATGTGGCTCTCACTTGAGCTGTGTTGTGCGTCAGGTGGTGCAGCCCAAGGCAGAAGCCGTCCCTAAGAGCGCTCCTGAGGGTGGCGAAGAGGAGATCAATCTTCAGAAGTGTTGAAGCCTTCGTGTGCGCGCGCTTCTGAGCAGGACGAGGCGGGCTGTTCCCAGAGCTGAGAGGTTCCGAGAGGTTCCTCTTTAGCTCCGGACACTTGTCAATGATGTGACAGGGGCTTCTCGTTCCAAGAAGTCTCTCTTTCACAGGGGCTGTGACTTTATACCCCTCACACACCCTGCAACAGCCAGTTCCCAACCCCACCCTGCTTCTGAAACAGCTTCCAGTTCATGTAGCCAGTCATGATAATTGCTCATGATGAGCTCCAGAAGCGGACACTTGGCCGCAGTTTCCAACGAGCCATGGCCCCATGGCTTGTCCATGACATGGAGAAGCCACAGCTCTATGTTTTCTATTGCAAAGAAGCGACCAGCAAAAGCGTTGAGCTCCTTGATTTCACCTTACAACCAAACCCTTTGGTTGCTGGGCAATGCCGCACAGCTGTCAACCGTGGCCAGTCACCAGCACCATAGGCAATCCAAGATCAAATTCAATCCTAACTTTTTTTTTGTCAAACTTTCATCAGTCCCGAAAACTAGATCTGGATCTGGCAGCCTGTCAAGTGTTGAGGCGAATGCGTATGGTGCTTTCAGTGACCCAGCCTTTTTTCGTGAAAGTTGTGCGGCTTGCATCGACAAGGCTTCCGCCACCTTCCCTGATAAGCATGAAGGAGGACATAATGTTGGTTTATTTTGGTGGCGTGAGACGCCCAAAACGCATTCCAAGCATGGGAAAGTGCAAATGGTGACTCGGCTACCCGTCGAGCCGATTGCGGAGAAGTGCTGGCTGCATTCCGCTGTTCAGCATCTAAGAACCGAGACTTCAGCTTGGCTCTCGCAAGAAAAGGCTTCGTCAAACCGAGGGCATGGACTGAGCCAGCCAGAGAATGTCATGCTGTTGGAGTGTCGGATGTGCACAATACATGAACAGGATCTTTCACCTTTTAGGTTGAGCTACGTCCACTATTTTCGCGGCTGCCATTCAAAGATAATGGGGCTTGTAATCTTGCAACTCCCAGAGTGTATTGCATTCTTCATATCAAACTGCAAAGACGCACCTTTGCCACGCTTGGTGCCGCAGTGTGCCTGAACCATGTTTGCGATGCATTTGGAAGCATACGGCTGGCGCAGTCAAACGAGCCGGATGGATAGGCATCACATAATCACTTCTCGCTAGTAATAAAACCACCCTAACGATTCCTTAGGAGCATTTTACTAGGGGCTGTACTACTTTTAAAAGGAGCCAGACCATGATGAATAAGGGGGGTTTTGAGGTCATTAGGGGGGCATAATAGAAAAGCCAAAGGAATTTCAGATCACCTTGACCGTATTATTTAATTAAATCTCAATTGATTTTCATTCGATTTCAATCGATTGTTCAATGGATTTTCATCGATTTCATTTGATTTGAAAAGGAATTCTAATTAAATTTCGTTTGATTTTAGCGCGAAGTTAATTCGATTTTAATTGAATTTCAAAGACTTCTTAATTAGATTTCAATTGATTGAAACGGGTTTTTAATTCGATTTCAATTGAATTTAACGGGATTCTAATTCGATTTCCATTGATGTTAACGGGATTTGAATTCAATTTCCATTGATTTTAAACGGAATTATAAGTAAGTTTCAAATAGTTCGATTTCAATTGATCGTAAACGGAATCCTAATTCAATTTCAATTGATTCTAACGGAATTTTCGTTCGATTTCAATTGATTTTAAAGTGTAGTTTAGTTGAATTTTGATTTTAAAGGAATTCAAAGGCAGCCNNTTTTTTTTTGGAGGGGGGGGTGGACGCGTCGTTCATTATGAGGGGGAAGCGATTATGACGCTTGACCGTTGTTGGGCTGCTAGTCTGGCTCGTGGAAGGATTCAAACAATTTCTATCCAAGCCCTAGAGCCTCCACTACTTCAGTTTGCCTTGCATTTATCTGAAACATATCTCACCTGCAAGGTGGTAGCCAGTGACTATCAAAGACGAATCTATCTTTGCAACTGTGGTCTGCACACCGGAAAGCTCCTGAGTCTTTCCAGCGCAGACTGAAGCGGACGCCCTCTACAGGTTTCCCCTGTTCAAAGAAGACGCAGCTCTCTGCAGATCGCCAGTCAAGCCGCACGTACCCGGCTGGCTTTGCAAACGTGCGTTGGTTGTTTGAGTCGTTCTTCAATTTTCAAGAAATGCAGTCACTGATTGCCTCCATACGCGTGAGGTTTCATGACACCAGGCCCCCATGCAAATCGTGACCAAAAGAGGAGTGTTTCAACAATCCAACGGTTTCACACAGGCCTGTCGCGCGCAGGCGGGGTGGCAGCTTGCTGCCGCCAGGTGTCAGACCCAACCACTTCCTGGCCCGTGCCCACCATGTCCTTCAGACAGATCCCCCTCAGCAGCTTCTCACTTTCCACCCAGATGCGTGGGGTTGTAGGGTTGAACAACGGAATCTAGACGCAGGAGTGCACATTATGTTGTTTACAGGACAACGTACAATGCAGCAGGACAGCGAGGGTTCAGGCAGGACAGCGTGACAGACAAGGACGTTAAGTTATGGGATGTACCAAACACCGGTCCTGAGCCGCCGCCCACCATGGCCCACCCCCGTGCGAGCTGGACCGCGCGACGGTCAGCGAAAGTTATGCGAACACGACGCGGCCGTGTCGTGATGACTTTTTTTTATTCAGTGCAGTACACTACCACGTGAAAGTCGGAAACGGCTTCCAAACGGCACGTGTGCGCTCAGGGGAGCGGCCTTCCGCAAAGCCAGTATCGTTGCCTCTGCTTCTCGCCTGGAGGCCCTGGACACGAGTCGTGTTTACTCTTAGCAGAAAGAGGAATAAGGTCTAGGGCGGAAGCATCGTCAGCACAATTGGGTTCCCATTTCGATCCCATTTCTCACTCATAACTCCCCCAACCTCGTAGGCAGCTACTCGTATCGTTGCTCCTGCTGGCTCAAAGCTCATGGACTATCTTGTTACACTCTTGATACAGGGTTCAGTGTGGCTCCGGGTGCTCTTTCCTTGAATTTCTGGGGCATAGGGTGTCCCCTGTACTGTAGTGTAATACACGTGTGCACCTAGGGACAAGTGGGCGTTCTGCACCAGACTGTTGAGACATGTTCGCCTATGCACAGTTCGAGCACGTTCCGTAACCACGGTTTTCAAGGAATCGTAGAGTTCGCAGTTTTTCTTAGCTTTGGCCCTGGCCATGTCGGAGCTTCGCGAAGCGCTGCGCGTCCTGGTTGAAGCCCCCGACGAGGACTTGGAAGACATGCTCCGGTGGGCTCCTGTGCCATATAGGCAGCGGTTGC